ATAACCAGTCACTGTGAAAACTAGAGGGTGGTCCCAGTCATCCCGGTCACCAGCTGGAACGGAGTCCCATTCCCCCCCCTCCCCCTCCCCGCCCAGTTCCGCTCTGAGTAAGGACAGCCTGCCCCAGGGCCTCGGCGCGTTTGGCACGCACAGTTACCGGGCTGCCAGGAGACAGAACCAAATGACCAAAGAGAAATAGAAAAAATAGACAGTAGAAGTAGACCCGCACGTTATCCGGGTGTCACGAGGCACAGACACGATCTTTAAAACAGCTGTGATGAATAATTGCAAGAATATGGACAAGATGGGGGAATTTCACCTGAAGAAAATAAGAGCCTATAAAAATTTGGCTCAGATGGAAATTCCAGAACTGAAAAGTACAGTAAGTGACGTGAATGCGGTCCCTAATGTCGAAGACATTAGTCATAGAGGAAGTGGGCGTGGATGACGTAGTACCTGTCTCAAGAAATTGGAAAGATGATGGATTTTGAGCCCAAAGAAATGACAAGAAAGGAGATAATGAAGATGCAAGCAGGTATCGATGACACAGAGGAGTCACTATGGCAATAGAGGAAGATCCAGAAGGAGGCAGAAGCCTGGGGCAGAGCCCCGCCTCTGCCACCATCCTGCTGTGTGACTTTAGACAAGTCACTTGTCTTCTCTGAACCTCAGTTTCCCACATCAGGGAAATAAGTGTGATTATCCATTTGGCCCAGTTGATGTGGGGTCACACGGTAGACAGTGCAGAGCCTCGTCATCAAATGTGCTGATGGACCCAACCATCGACTCATTGTTCACCTGGTCACTTCACTGCACCCCTCATGCAGGGGGCGACGCAGAGAGCCAGGGGGCATCCCAGCCTCAGGGGCACCATGCACTAGTGGCAGGCTTGAACAAAACCGTCAGAAAGCTGTGCTGTTCGGTCACCTGGTTTTCCAAGCATTTAAAACAGCTCTTCCGTCAGGGCTGGTCCTTGCCAGCATCTTGCTGTCCCCAGACGGGCTCATCTTTGCTAAGGACCTTCCTTAGGGAAATCTTGGCTTTCTGGATCCTTCAGAAGGTACTAATGTGTGTCACCTTTGTTCCAGTGACCCCTTTAGACCGTCAGGTACACGTTCTCCGTGGCTTCGCCTGTACAGGCATCCCGCGGGGATATCGTGGGTTCCGTTCCAGACCTCCGCGATGAAGTGGATTCATCACAAAGTGAGTCAGATGAGTGTTCTGGCTTCCCAGTGCGTACGAAGTTATACCATAGGAGTCTATTATGTGTGCAGTGGTGTTATGTCTTAAGAAACAAGATACATACCTTCCTGCTTTCCTGCTAAAAAATGCTAACCATCAACAGAGCTTTCGGCCCACTGTCATCACTCGTCACAGGTCATTGTAACGAATCTCATAACAAAAACATTTGAAATACTTCGAGGCTTAGCAAAGTGTCGCCCAGAGATGCGAAGTGAGCACACGCGGTTGGGAAAATAGCACTGACAGACCGCGAGGCACGCGGACGCCGCGGTCCGAGTTGTAAAAGGCGCCGAATCTGCAAAGTGCGACTGAACGAGGCGTGCCTGTCCTGCACGTGGCCGTGAGGTGGCCGGCATTCTGCCGGCAGGCTGGGGCGCCATTTCCCGAGGGAGGTGTGGGTGCCTCCCCCTCCCCCTGCCACATGTTTGGCGCGCAGAGATCTTGGGCCTGGGGCATCTTGCTCCGGGTCCCATGGCCGGGAGCCAGGGCTGGCATTCGCCTGTGTGTGACAGATGTGTCACTTACTGGAGTACAGGGAAGTCGCGCATTCCTTGTTTCTTCCCTGGGGCCTGGGCGGAAGGGTGTTCCTGCTTTTCCACTGCAGCGCATGTGAAGGCTTTGGGAAGATTAACTCGCACCAGTGCAGGTAGCGGGATCCGAGCCACCACTTGGGCCTTGGGGACACGGCTACCGGGATGTGGTGGGTGCACGGGAGGAGGGTGGCCGGGCTCCCCAGCTCCTGCAGCCCAGCCTGCCCTCTGCTCCCCGCACTCACTGCGCCCCAGCACCAGCTTAGGACATGAATCTCTCTCCCACGGAGCCAGGACTCTGTAGGGACCTGGACTGCTCATTCAGAAGGTCATTTGCTCCACGAAGTTCAGCAGTCACCGATCTGAATGGCCCTGTCTCTGTCCCTGGCATCAGCATAGAGTCCGTGGGGGCGTTTGGCACCCTGCTCGTTGCCAAGACCCTGCGGTGAGACCCGGTTGCTCCTCTGCTCAGACCCTCCGGTGGGTTCCCTGTCACTCTGAGCGAACTTAGTCTTTCTAGTGGCTTCCGCAGCCCCGTGCTCTCCGGCCCGCCCTCACACGTGCCTGTTCCTCTCCTTGTCATCGATCCAGGTGCAGCTGCCTGGCGAGCTCCTGCCTTGGACTCCGTCACGATACGTCCCTACCACCTGCCCCAGAGCCTGGCACATCACAGACCCTAGAAAATACGTAGTGAGTGACTCCGGTGGCTGGACAGGCCCTGACGGGGTGACAGCCTGGCAAAGTGGAAACCATCTGGGATACCAGCCCCATTTTCCAGTTGAAGAAACGGTTCAGAGAGGGCGGGTGACTGTTCACAGTCACACAGCAAGGGGGTGGTACAGCCCAGTGGGTGTCAGAATCCTCTGATTCTCAGTCTGTGCTGTTCTGCTCGGATCTCCCCTCTAAAATGTTGGCCTTTCCCAGCCTTCGCGCCCCAGGGCATGGGGCCCAACAGTGAGTGAGACTGAGTCCCTACCCTCATGGAGCCCTCCCGCCCAGGGAGGAGGCGGATGAGGAAACAGCACACACAGAGCAGAGCCAAGGCTGTGGAAGCCTGGACAGGACTCAGTTCCTGCCGGGAGTGGGCGGGCCTTCCTCCAGGAGTCAGCACCCGGCGATTCCGAGGAAAGAGTAAGAGTTAAGCAGGGCAGGGTGGACTTTGTGCACCGTGGGACCAGCCCAGGCGGGAGCCCAGAGGCAGGACCTGCTGTGACCTGTGGATCGGTCACGTTGCTTCGAGTTAGAAGCATCTGCTTTACAAAATCAAGGGGATTTGTGATCTATCTCGTGTCCCTAAAATATCACGGCTTAGGGTGGATTGCAGGTATGGCTGGACCAGACTCAGCATGCTTGCCTCAGTCCTGTTCAGCCCTCGCTTCGTCTAAGCTGGCCAGCATGACCTTGACTTTTTTTTTTGTTTAATAGTTTATTGTCAAGTTGGTTTCCATATAACACCCAGTGCTTGACTTTTATGTCCAAAAATCAAACAGCCAGAGCAAAATCAGGTTTCTTCCCCCCCTCCCAGTCAGGGGGTTTGGTCTGATTGGGGGAATTAGCACACATTCTGGACATCCATGGGCCAGGAGGGCTGGACCTGTGTCAGCCGAGTTAGAGTGGAGCCTGCCCTTGACACTAAGCACGTTAATCTAACTCAGGTGACAGAGCTGCCTCTTTCTGGAAGGGCGGGAGGTGGAGGGGTGGAGGGGACCGCTCTGGGCACCAGTAGATTACCAGTATGCGTGAGCTTGTCTTGAACCGTGAGAAATGGTGCACCAGGCAAAGCAAGATGGCCCTGCCCCCTGAGTGAAGAGTGGAGAAGGTTGTAGAAGGCTGAAGCACATATGAACCCTGGTGTCTCCAGGAACGCACGATGGATTTAATTTGATTTTTGACCCTCCCCCACCCTTTTTCTACCAAATGGTAATAGCTCTTCAGCTGTTACTTTTCTAGAAAAATGTGTCCTGTGGCGTCTACATATTAAGGATGGGGACAAATTGACCAGACAGAGATTAGGACTGGGGCAGGGGACACATTCTAAGCAGAGACCAGAGTCCGCATGGACTCTCGGCCCCCCAGCGCCCCTCCACATGCATGGATTCAGAGGGACGTGGATTTGGATCAGGCTCTGCTTCCTCCTTTCCCCATGACCTTGAGAAAGGCATGTAGTCTCTTTGAATCTTAGTTTATTCTGAGATCAAAATGGGGAGCCCCTGTCTGGCTGGCAGTACACTTTGATGACTCTTGGAGGAAATAGATACATAAGAACGATTGACCGTCATGTCCAGCTTTTAGTGGACCGTCCAAGAATATTCATTCAGTCACGCACGGAAAGAGGAAAGTGAAAGTTTAGCAATCACCTAATAGATCCCAGAGGCTCAGCATGTGTCACTTTATCTTATCTTTATAACCACTTCTTTTTTTTTATAGTTAACTTATTTTTGAGTCAGAGAGACAGAGCACAAGTGGGGGAGGGGTAGAGAGGGAGAGGGAGACACAGAATCTGAAACAGGCTCCAGGCTCTGAGCTGTCAGCACAGAGCCCGACGTGGGGCTCGAACCCACGAACCATGAGATCGTGACCTAAGCTGAGTTGGATGCAACTGACTGAGCCACCCAGGCGCCCCTCTTTATAACCATTCCTAAGTGGCAATGTTGTTCTCCCATTTTCCAGAGGAAGAAACAGAGGGCAGGAAGACTGCCTGACTTCCCAAGGCCACAGGGCTGGTAAACCAGAACTTGAACCTGGGCCATCGAAAGCCTACTTTATAGGACTGGGGCCGACTGGCGGAGGTCGAATGCCGAGGTGTGCAGAAGCAGAGAATTGTGGTTACATTCAGAATATGAACGAGAGGGTGAAGGAGCGAGAAGGCAGCATGTACTTACACGTACCTAGCGTCTCTGTGTGTGTGTGTGGCACTGTACGTGCATCGTTGACTCATTCCACAGACTTCGGTTGAATGCTCGAATGTCCCAGGCTCTGGTTGCAGGAAGGATGGGCGGGGCAGTTTCCGTGTCCCCTAGCAGAATAGGCGTTACCATCCCCGTTACCCACATGCACACCCCGAGGCTCGAGGAGGTAAATAAATCGTCTGTAGCCTCCCATCTCTTTGGCTTAACAACACAGCAGGAGGTAATGGAGCTCATCCTGGAGGAGGTGAGGAGAAAGAAGTCGTTTTCTATAACAAGCTAATAGGATTTCATCCTGTTTGCTTCCTCCTTTTCTGTGCAGATGACAGACAGCCCTCCGTGCCTTCATCAAGCAGGCTGCTTAATGGTGACAGCATGGGAAAAACCGGGCTCTAATTAAGTATCATCACACAGCATCCCTTCCGGAGGATGGTGGCAAAGACAGCTTCCCCCTGTCCTGCACCGTGACCCTTCCTTCGAGGTCCTCACCACCCCCCTCCGAGAGTCCCCGCACCTGTCACAAAGATTAACTACCCCTCAACCCCTTTGGATGGGAACGGAAATCATATTATTAAGTTTGATTAAAGCTTCAAGAGACATTATCGGCTGTTTAAGGGCTGCTGACGAAGCAGCCTGCTTATTTCCTGAAAAGACAGATTATATGCAAGAGGAGTCAACCCCTGCGTCCCCTCCACGAGTGGTCACTTAGCCTCCGACCCTCACAGGGTGATGTCCGGCGCACAGGGGCGGCCACTGCCCAGCGGGAGCCAGGTCGGCCGTAGTCGCCCTGGGAATCCCCACCTTGCCTTGTGATCGAGCCTCTGTCTCTGGGATTTTCCTCCCACGTTCCCCACTCGGCTCCCGGGCGTGATTTCCTCCGGCGCATCCCTGGGAGGCGCCCCCTCTGGAGAGCAGAAATGGTGACCATGAGGAAAAGGACTCTCAAAGGGCTCACCCTCCTCGTTCTCTTCATCTTCCTCACCTCCTTCTTCCTCAACTACTCCCACACCATGGTGAGCACCACCTGGTTTCCCAAGCAGATGGTCGTTGAGCTGTCCGAGAACTTCAAGAAGTTCATGAAGTACGCCCACCGGCCGTGCACCTGCGCCCGCTGCATCGGGCAGCAGAAGGTCTCGCCCTGGTTCGATGAGAGGTTCAACCGGTCCATGCAGCCGTTGCTCACTGCCCAGAACGCGCTCCTGGAGGAAGACACCTACAGCTGGTGGCTGGTGAGTGCCGGGACGGGGTGTGGGCCTGGGGCTGCGCGGGGCTGGGCACCCGGGGCCCCGCCCGGCTCTCCTCCGTTCCCCCGACTGCTGTTTATCGAGGATCCGCTGCGTGTAAATCAGAGCAGCGCGCTCTGTGTTAGTTTCCTGTGTCTGCCGTAGCCGATTGCCACAAGCTGGTTTAAAGCAGCAGACACATCACGCCAGGCTCTGCACCCCATCTTCACACGACCCCTCTTCTGAGTCGCTCCAGGTCTCCAGTCTCTCTCTACCCTTCTCTATAAAGCCACCTGCTCCTCAGTTCAGGGGCCTCTAAATCCGGGAGGATCCTTTTTTTTTAATTTATTTTTTTTTAGTGTTTTTTATTTATTTCTAGGAGAGAGAGACAGCGTGAGCAGGGGAGGGTCAGAGAGAGAGGGAGTCACAGACTGAAACAGGCTCCAGGCTCCGAGCTGGCAGTCAGCACAGAGCCCGACGCGGGGCTCGAACCCACAAACCGCGAGATCATGACCTAAGCGAAAGTCGGAAAGTCGGACGCTTAACCGACTAAGCCACCCAGGCGCCCCTAAATCTGGGAGGATCCTTAATGCCCGCCGTGAAGACCCTTTTCCACAAGGTCCCATTCACGCGTCCGGGAGTTAGGATGTGGATGTACGTTCATGCAGGGCTGCTCTTCCACCTGCTGGATGTCGAGATGCGAGGTCCTGCCTCTCCTGGAACTCTGTTCTGGCCGAGAGAGACAGATCCGAAGCGGAGAAGGCAGGCACAGGTGGAAATGCCGTGGGAAGGTCTCATGAGGTTTGTGAGAGAAGCTGGGGGCAGGGGCCTCTGTAGTGGGGTCGTCGGGGAAGGTCCTTGAGGAGGCAGGGCTAGAGCTAAGACCCAGGTAAGGAAGGCACTGGCCATGGAAGGATCCGGAGCATGTGCCATAGTCGTGGCAGCAGCGAGCATAAGGAGCGCTGGGAGGCAGTGGACCAAAGAGTGGCCAGGATTAGGGCAGGGCTTCACCCTCACACTCTTGACATGTGGGGCTGGACACCCCTTTGTTTCAGAGACCGCCCCGCACATCACAAGATGGTTAGCAGTATCCCAGGTCTCTAGCCGCTAACTGCTGGTGTCACCCAGCCCCCAGCCGCGAGAACCCGAATGTCTCCAGGTGCTCTCAGATGACCCCGACAGGGGCAGGGGCTGCAGAATTGCCCCTGAGACCACTGGGGTAGAGAAGAGAAAGCTCAGAAAAGAAGAGCGACTTGCGCACAACAGCGCATTCCGATCCAGCCCTCATTACCTAGAAATACTGGTGAGAAACTTCTAGAGTGGAGGGCCGGGACAGTATTCAGCTACCTCCTTCCCTAAGGCCCTCAGGGAGGGCAGTTTCTAAAACTCTCAGGCTGGCGGAGCCCAGAATGTATAAAGAGGTACAAAAAAGCAAACCAGTGTGTTGCTGTAATGTCTGTATCGTCTCAGAGCGTGCTCTGTGCCTTCCGCACTTAGAAATTAGGACCCGGCATCGGGGTCCCCGGATTCTGCTCCTGACTTTCTGGATCTTATCAGGAGTGCTTCCCGGTGAACCTCTTCGTCATGCGGAGTCTCGGCTTGAGGGTATCCCAGCCGCCGCGCCACGTTCTCTCCAACGCTGCGAACATCAGCCTCTCACGTTTCTATTTCGTTTCGCTGGCCGAATGGGCAAGTAGTACTGAATTTGCTTTTTTTCTTCCCCAGCACTTCCCAAGGCTGATCGTTTTGCCAAGTGACTGTTCGCGTTTATCAACTTGTCCGCCCACGTTCCCACCCCCAGCTCTTATCTGCAGCCCTTCTTTTTCTGGAGCTCAGCCCTTGGTGGCCACTTGGAAGAGGCCGGCGCTGGGAAGAGAGAGCCCTCCACGATAGAAATCAATAGAAAGGAGCCGGGCCTAGAGCTTCCAGCAGAAGCCAGCGGAAGGTGGCTCGTGCCATATGACAGAGGATGCAGCCCCAGACTCTCCCCACGCTCAGGGCGCCCCAGACCCCTGGGAGCCTGGGTGTGGAGCAGACGGCTGAGTCGGCATTTCCCGGCTTCGTCTGTGCCGGGGACGCCCAGCCGGTCCTGGCCAAGGCCACTCAGCCGTCACGGGGGAGCTGGGCCCACAGAGCCTTCATCCGTCCTCTCCCAGGGCTGTGGGAAACTCGGGAGAACGCAAGTGTCAGGGCCCAGGGCCGACCGGCTGAGCCAGGAGGAGTCTGAGGCCAGAACTGTGGGGTCCCGCGTCTCTGAGCTTCAAGGTCCCCGTGGGTCTCCGGGGCCTCCCGGCAGGTGGAAAACACAAGGCAGACGTAGCCCTGAAGGCAGCAGAAGACAGAGGCCATCACATAGGGTCCCGCTTGGGCTCGGTGCCCGCCCCCCATCAGCCTGCTGACCTTCTCCTCCCGTCTCTGTCCCAGGCCCAGGGCAGGGTCCCCTGTGTCCCCGCCACATTTCCACTCCTGACACAGGCCACACACAGTGGGACCCTCCGGCTCCTGCCCCGACCACAGAAGACCTCTTCCTGCCCCAAGCATCGTGCTCAGTGCACTTGACAATAGTAGCCCCCATCCGGTGCCACGTGCCACTCGGGCCAAGGTTTCCAGGCACTGCCTGCCCACCCCCGGGCTTCGCCACACCACACCCCTTCACGGTGAGGCCGTCTCACCTCCGTTCTTCACTGGTGAGGGGCACCGTGGGATCACATTCTAGTGCAAGGACATGCTGTGGAGTCAGGGCCGGCTATTCATATCTTGGGGACCCTGGGGAACCCACTCCACCCCTCTGCACCTCAGTTTTCTCACCTGTAAAATGGGTGCCTCATACCACCTTTCTCATAGGCTGGTTATAGGAAATAAATGAAAAAATGCCTACGACGTTCTTAGCGCAGGGCCTGGTCTGTAAGAAGAACCACAGAAGGGATGAGGCGCCTGGGCTGCTCGGTATGTGAAGTGTCCGACTCTTGGTTTCGGCTCAGGTGATGATCCCGCAGTTTGTGAGTTCTGGCCCCGCGTCAGGCTCTGTGCTGGCGGTGCAGAGTCTGCTTGGGATTCCCTCACTCGCTTGCTCACTCTTTGTCTCTCTCCCGATAGATAGATAGATAGATAGATAGATAGATAGATAGATAAATAGATAAACTTAAAAAAAAAAAAAAGCAAGAAGGCACACTCTCACCGACAATGAGCTTTCAAAGTCCAGCAAGTCCCTGCTCTAACCTGCCCAGGTCACACGGCATCGAGCACATGATGGGGGGCTCAGCAGCGATGGGTCCCACGGGTGTGTGAGTGTGTGTCGGCTCTGGTAGAGGTCATTCACTTCCTCAGCAAGCCCAGCAAACACACAGGGAGCAGGCTGCTGTATGTCACGCCTGTGCTTGTGGCTCGGATTCCGAGGGGGCCGGCAGGCAAGCCCTCAGCAGCTGTGGGTCACACTACGCCCGTGCTCAGGGCCCTGAGGTCTGGGCACGTGCTTAAGTCAAAGATCAGTATTGGGGGGTTTGGGGAGGCTCTCCTGCCGCCGCATGGCAGGCTGGATCAGGAAGGAAGGGCAGGGTTTCCTGGACGGAGAAGGAAGGAAGGGTGGGCGGAGAGGGTGCCACTCTGCAGCACACGCATGGGTGGCCACAGGGGCTCTGGAGGCCAGACATCAGGCCTCCAGGCTGGACAGTCTGTGCTACACTTCCCGCCCCCAGGACTCCCGTGGGGTCAAGCGCAAGGGCAGGTGCACTGAGCGAGGCTCTTCCCAGGCTGTGCTCTGAGCGAGAGCGTGCCCAGGGCATGCGCCTCCCTGTCTCAGCCCGCTGAGGGGGACCCCGCATGGGACACCATGTCCCCGCCCTCCCTGGCTGCAGACAGCGCCGGCCCCACTCACCCACATCCTGGACTTGGCCTCTGCTTCCTGGCCGTGCCCTAAGATGCAGTGCGTCCTCGAGGAGCCGGGCCCCAGTCGGCACCTCTGGGGCAGGGGCTGGAGGCAGACCGGGGTCCTGGAAAACTCCTCAGGACCAGTGAGAAGGGGAGGGGGCCTTTGAACTTTGAGCTCAACATTCTCTCCGATGCTTGACTCGGCAGCCTGGTAGTGCTCTTACTGTTACTTATGAAAGGCAGGGAAATGGGGATATTCCTTCCCGAGGAGGACAGGGCAGGGATGTGGCACTGAGGGCCCTGCCCAGACCAAGCCAGCTGGCGGGGGGGGGGGTGAGCGGGGGGGCAGGGGGGGCGATTTCGGATTCTAATCTGCAGGAACACAGCCCGTCTTTCCTACCCAGGTTCTTCTGGGCTTAGCTGCTGCCATGTTGATGCCGGTGCCCGGAGGCCTCGCCCCTTCCCCTCTCTGGGCCTCGGGGTCTCCAGTAAAGCACCACAGCAGACCCCGAATTGCTGATGTGGGGCCACGTGCCACCTTGCGTGGCCGGCAGCGTGATTCTAGGTGACGTGAGGGCGTCAGATGAGGCCGCTGTCGTTGTCTTGCGGTGTCTGCATTTGCAAGGACTTTAACTTGACCCGATGTTCCCTGATGCACTTCAGCACCTGCCCGTCTTCCTTCTAACTCTTCCTTCTGACGGAGGGTGGGCAGCTTGCCCGGGCAAGCCACCGTCGGAGCCGGAATGAAACATTACTTTGTTTACATTGTTCTCTGCAATTACTTTTTTTTTTTCTACCAAGTAATCCTTGCTTTCCATTTGTGGTGGGGATGTGAGATTTCCCTTTAAGATGAACTTGTTTTTTTTTTTTTTTCTTTTTCTGTTTCTGCGATGAGCTATCAGTGAGGAGTCAGGTAGTAACAGCCGGGTGAGGCGATGTGGGGCTGTGCTCCTGAGTCCCGTCTTCTGTTGGCATCAAACCCCGGGGCCCCCAAGGCAAAGCGCACACACGTGTGATACGCTAGGAGCTCAGTAAATATTGCTGAGCGCTGGATTAGAGAGTGCCACGCTGCCCTTAATCCTACAGACGGTGTCGGGCTCTGAGGTGATGACACAGTGTGAAGACACTGGTCCTGAGCACGTCTTCTGGGTGCACAGGGGCCCTTCCCGGGTGGGGCCATCTCTGGGGACGCCTGCTATCTGGATGGGGCCCTCTGCCTGTGCCAGCATCGCCCGGGAGCTGTTGGAAATGCAGGTTCTTGGGCCCTTTCCAGCCCTACTGAGTCCTCTCCCTGAGTCCCGGCAAAGTCCTCAGTGACTCCCCACTCGGAGCTCCCGGGAGGTGCTGTCAGGAGCAGGTGTTAGGCAGGGGATTGTTCTGTGTCACTGTGTCAAATGTACAGGATTGGCCATCTCAGTGGCATTAAGTACATTCGCGCTGTTGCGTGACCTTCACCACCGTCTAAGGCCAGCGTTTTTTCGTCATGTCCCCAACCCCTGCACCTGATACATGCTAATTCCCCTCCCTCCACCCCACGCCCCCCGGAAGCCACCATTCCACCTTCTGTCTCTATGAGTCTGACGCCTCTAGGGACCTCGCAGAAGAGGGACCCCTCAGTATTTGTCTTCCTGCCCTACCTCACGAAGCGTGTTTCCAAGGCCCTGCCACGCCGTAGCATCTATCACTTTCCTTCTTTTTTATGCCCGCGTGATATTCCACACCTGTCCCGTGCGCTCACTTGTCTGTGCAAATCCGACTTGCTTCCGCTTCGCGGCTGCTGCGAACGTGAAGGACAAGGTCCTGTTGGGGACCCGGCTTTCCGCTGGCGAGGATGTGCTTCGGGGCAGAGCTGCCGGCTCACACGGTGGCTCTGTGTTTGTCTTACGTGGCGGCCGCGCTGTTTTACATCCCCACCAACAGCGTACGCGGGCTCCGGTTTCTCCCTCTGCTCACCAGCCGCTGTCGTTCTCTCTCTCCCTCGTTTTTATGTCTCATAACCTCCGAGCGGGTGAGCTGAGCGGCCCAGGACCTACTGCCCGCGGCGCTCCCGTGACAGGTGCGAGGACACCGCCTGGGCTTACCGTCAGGCCTCTCCTGTGGAGACGCGATTGCCCCGTCACGGGGCGGTGGGGGACTGCGTGTGTCCCCATCTGCGCCGCCACTGATGTCCAGCCAAAGCAAGCTCTAGCCTCTCCTTTGTTGCCCAGCCACTGCCCCTGCCTAGTGCCCCGAGAGGTGCTGGGACTCACCCCACAGCCACCTCCTCCGGGCCCCTGCCGTTCCAGCGGCCGGGCTTTCCCAAGGGTCTGAGGCCGGGGCCCTGTTGTGGGAGAGACTTTACATTCGGATTTTAAAAGCCTGGGTTCAAATCCTGATTGGAATTTGGGGCATGTTGATTCCACCAGCCTGGGCCCCAGAATACCCTACCCGCTTGCAGTTCTGGTGCGGTGTGGTGTATACCCGGTGTGGTGGGGTGTGTACCCGGTGTGGTGTGGTGTGTACGCGGTGTGGTGTGGTGTATACCCGGTGTGGTGTGGTGCGGCGTATACCCAGTGTGGTGCGGTGTGTGCCCGGTGCGGTGTGGTGTATACACGGTGTAGTGCGGTGTGGTGTATACATGGTGGCATGGCGACAGGGCCGGAGGGAGTGCTCCTTAGGAAACGCCACCGGGTTCTACCAGGAGTGAGGGGGTCGGAAGTGCTGAGCTGGGTCTTAGAGGTGAAAGCAATTTGCTAGGCAGACACGGAGGCCTTGATGCGTCCAGCAGAGGGCTGGGGCCCAGTGGTCCCTGGTGGAGGTGGGGGCGGAGGAGTGGGGGGATGGGCAGGAGGATGAAGGGAGCAGAGGCGGGGGTGGTGGGCATGGAGGGTCACTTGACCCTTCTCTCCTGTGGCTTTCTCATGTTATCCCGTCTCAATGCCTCAGTGGCTGGCAGAGTCGCTAGCACACAGTAGGTGCTCAGAAAACATCTGCGGAGGGAGTGAGGGATCTCTTTCCATCTCCTAGAGGGGCCCCTGGGCTTCCGGAGCGGGGGTGGCTGTCTGTGCTTCCTCAGCCTCCAGGTGTGCAGCAAAAAGGAAGGTGCCAGGGAGGGGTCCAATGAGCATGGCGGGGGGCGGGGGGCAGGGGCCCGGTGAGCATTGGGGGGGGCTCGGGACCCAGTGAGCACTGGTGGGGAGGCTTGGGGCCCAGTGAGCACGAGGTGGGGTTTGGGGCCCAGTGAACATGAAGGGGGGGCTTGGGGCCCAGTGAGCACAAGTCAGGGGCTCGGGCCGGCAGCCGGGTGGCTGAGCAGACCCCCCAGAGGCAGCAGAGGGGGACTCACCTTCTCCTTCCGTCCTCCCCCCGCAGAGGCTCCAGCGGGAGAAACAACCCACTAACCTGAACGACACCATCAAGGAGCTGTTCCAGGTGGTGCCTGGGGACGTGGACCCCCTGCTGGAGAAGAAGTTGGGGGGCTGCCGGCGCTGCGCCGTCGTGGGCAACTCTGGGAACCTGAGGGCGTCCTGGTACGGGCCCCAGATAGACGGCCACGACTTCGTGCTGAGGTGAGCACCTGCCCCTCGGAGCTCAGTGGCGCCTTGGCTCAGGGTCTGGAGGTCGGGGCCCCTGTCCTGGCCTGGACAGGCTTCCCTGCGGACCCCAGCGCCCCCCCCACTACCTCCCGAGGGCCTCGGTTTCCCCAGCCGTGCGTTGTAGGAAGGAACTGGGCTCGCAACATCTCTTTGGACCCAGACGGGAAACGATGCGAGGGAGGCAGCCAGTGGGCACGGGAGGTGCCTGGCGAGAGGGCACGATCTATTTGAAGAGTCTCGTTTAATCTTTAAAATTCAGTCCCATCTTGGGGCGCCTGGGTGGCTCAGTCGGTTGGGCGTCCGACTTCGGCTCAGGTCATGATCTCACGGTTTGTGGGTTTGAGCCCCGGGTCCGGCTCTGTGCTGACAGCTCAGAGCTTGGAGCCTATTTCGGATTCTGTATCTCCCTCTCTCTCTGACCCTCCCCTGCTCACGCTGCCTCTCTCTCTCTCTTAGAAATAAATAAAACGTTAAAAAAAAAAATAGAATTCAGTTTCGTTTTACAATCCAGGCCACAATAAAATGATACGTTTTTAACGTAAATCGTTTCCCCGTTGCCAAGTGAGACATCCTCCAGCAAGTCATGTGTCCTGGGTGTCCCTGATAACCTACATCACGCCCTTCCCTCGGCTCCCGGGCTCGCAAGCGCCTCAGCGCCAGGACAGGCAGCAGTGGGGCTGCTGCTCCCCAGGCGCCTTCTAGAACAGTCTCCTGTTTCTGTGGTCTCTGCGTTTGTCTGTAGACCACTCGCCTGGCTTCTGGGAGCCTCAGTGTCCCCGGCGGGCAGCAGGAATGTCCGCGGTGAGGGTGAGCTGGTCAGACAAACGTGCCTTCAAGGCTGACACTCGGTGGCTCTGTCCTGGGACAAATTCTCTGCGTGCAGACTTCTTCCACCGCAAAGTAGGGCCACGGAACACCTGCCAGGTGCCGTTGTCACCGAGGTGTTAGCCAGGTGTGTCACTAGGGCAGGACGGTTCCTGTGCGTCGTAGGTCGTCTGCAGAGCCCACGGTCGGGCTCACTTCGGATCGTAGGAGAGGAGACAGACGGCGCCAGCTTTTGTGCTGTGTCTGAAGCTGAGGAAGCTGGGGCCCCGCCTCGGAGGGCGCCGCACTCGCGGTGGCCTCACAGGCTCGCGGAGCCTCCGCAGCCGTGCCCGTGTGATGCGGTGCGTGACCCTCTGTCCCTTGTCCCCCAGGATGAACAAGGCGCCCACAGCGGGCTTTGAGGCCGACGTGGGGAGCAAGACCACGCACCACCTGGTGTACCCCGAGAGCTTCAGGGAGCTGGGGGAGAACGTCAGCATGGTCCTGGTCCCCTTCAAGACCACCGACCTGGAGTGGGTGGTCAGTGCCACCACCACGGGCACCATCTCTCAGTGAGTCCGCTGGGCGCGGGGGAGGCCCCTTCACCTTAGGGCACATGTAACCTTGCAGATGGAAAGGGGGCGTTCGTGGGGCTCATCAGCCAGCGCCGCGGCAGCGGGAATGGGTGCTCCTGGCTCCGGCCTCTGCTGTGCTCCTTCTGACTTGGAGCAAGTCGCCCCTCTCCCCTCACCCCTTGATTTTCCTGGGGGAAAGCAGCATTTTAAAGTTCTTGGATTAGCCAAGAGCGCCCTCTAGTGTCTACAGCAGGCCACTGCTACAGGAGGGCAGGGCTGAGGCAGGGAGGCCGTCCCTCCCTCCCTCTCCAGTGTCTCCCATCCGGAGCCCCCAGCCCTGTGCAGGCGGCCTTGACCCTCCCCACCCACCAGCACAGTAACACCTCCTCTTTCTCCCTGGCAGCACCTACGTTCCTGTCCCCGCGAAGATCAAAGTGAAAAAGAATAAGGTGAGTCGGGCTCGGCCCCTTGGAAGGCTCTGTACGCTGCAGAGAGCACCCCTCTCCCCTGCGCAGACCCTGGCTGCAGAGACCCCTTGGGCCTCCGCTCAGCCTCCCTGCTCGAAACACTGGGAAAGTCCTCCCGAGTGGGGGCCCCGGACCAGCAGCATTGCAGGGACCCTGTCACAGATGCCAGGGTGCAGGCCCGCCCCAGACCTGCTGAGTCAGAAGCTCTAGGAGAAGGCGGTGGCCCAGCAATCCGGGCTTTTACCAGCCCGCCAGCGCTGCTGACGCCGGCCGCTCTTTGAGAACCAGGCCTCCGTGGTGTGCGTGCGCTTCTCCAAGCCAGACCTCACCTCCCGGCCCCATAGCTCCATTGTCCCCAGGGTGCCCCTGGTACGGGCTTGGCGGAGACATGGGCAAAGGGCGGGAACATGAAAGAAATGAAGCGTCCGTTCTACTGGTCCTTTGCATGTGCTGTCCTTTTTAGATGGTGAGTCAGGATCAGAGAGGCTGAGTAACTTGCTTAGAAACACACAGCCTGCTGGTGGTATGGCTGGAATTGGAGCCCTCCCAGCACTGGGTGCACTGACCAGGGAGCAGGGGTGGGGGTCGGGGGGAAGCCATATGGCATCCCTGTAGGGCCCAGTGGGTGAATGGCAGTACCTTGAGGCCCGGCTGAATGATGACCACAGACCTGCATGGTCCTGGGCTCCAGTCCATTCCTGCGGGCCGGCGCTGGGCTTCCTGGACACGCATTCCCTCTACCGCCTTGAGAAGTACCCTTCGCTGTCCTCACGGCAGCCGTGGCGGTGGAGTCCAGGGCAGGGCTGATACCAGACACCTCCTGGCTTGGCCACCTGACTGTGTGATACCAGGCCCATCACGGAGCCTCTCTGAGCACTTCCCACGAGGAGAGGGAAAGCCAGCAAACAGGGTCGTGTTGTAGACATGTAGACCGAGGTCACTCAGACCCACACTCGGCAGGATGGGTGGGTGGCTCGGCGCCCGTGTTCTGCCCTGTGACGGGCGTCCCTGTCCCCACCACACGCCGTTCCCTGGAACCTCCCTGGCCCGATTTGAAGGTCACCCGATGTCCCCTTCTCAGCCAGCCGTCTCCCCACCCCTGTACTTTATTGCCTCTCTGCTGGATTTCCCTCCCCGGCTCCGCAGCTGTGCGCCAGCACTCTTTGCCTCCGTGGTTAGCCGCCCTTCCCACTAGACGGAAGGCCCCCGAGCGCAGGGGTGCGGGCTCCGTTCGCCGCCCTGTCCCCCGCGGCACAGTGGTGCGGGGCACCTGACAGGTGCTCACGGGGGCCTCTGTCTTCCTTCAGATCCTGATCTATCACCCGGCCTTCATCAAGTACGTCTTTGACAGCTGGCTGCAGGGCCACGGGCGGTACCCGTCCACCGGCATCCTGTCTGTCATCTTCTCGCTGCACATCTGCGATGAGGTACGCCCCCCACCCCGTGCCTGCCAGGCCGCCCCCCGTTCCACGTTTCTGAGAGCGTTGGGGCCGCCCCCACTCAGGGGACCCCCCACCCCGTTCCACATTTCTGAGAGCATCAGCGAGCATGGCTGCCGTCGGGCTGACCTCCAGCCCCACCCCTGGCCCCGCGTAGCTCTCCTTCCGGAAACTCCGGTCCCTCATCTCTGCGCTGGGCCTTGCAGCGCTGCTCTGGGCATTCACGAGAAGATTCTGGGGCGAGAGTTCCTCCTCGCTCTGTGTGGGCTCCGGAGGCCGAGTCACAGGCCGTGGGTGGAGGCTCGGAGTAGGGGCCAGAGTGATGGAGCAGATTGGAAGGGGGGAGGGCTGGGGTCTCAATCTAGGCCGCTATTAGAATCATCCCCAGAGCTAAATCTCAGCACCAACACCACACTCCGCCCGTGTTCACCAGGATTTCTGACTGTGGGGACCAGGCACCCAGGGGTTCCACTATTCACTGAGGCTGAGAACCAGTGATCATGCCCAGCGTGTTTTGTGTTTTCCTCTGTGGACCTGCCTGACCGTCCGCCAGGCCCTGCCCGTGCCTGATGTGGGGTGCTCCCTGCCACCCTGGGCAGAGGAGAGGGGCCCACAACACCTACTTCCTCCCTGGCCCCTGCGTCAGGTGGGGCAACCATCCCCGGCCCCCCCTCCTGGCTTCTGGGTGAAATCCAGGGAGGGAGAGGGGCCTTCTGTCACCGCCCTCTCCCCCACCCCGCACTGTCCCCAGAAGCCTGGGGTCTCCCAAAGCTGCCTCTCCTCCTCGCCTCACCTGGCTGCCTGCCCCCTCCCCTTGCCTCCTGCCCCCAGGCCGCTGCTACCCTGCTGGCCTTCAGGACAGCGGGCCACAGAGCTGTCTCCTGCCCCCCCCTCCCAAATCTGCCCTCAGCGCTGCTGCGGCCCAGATAGCATTTCCTCTCCCGGAGGGCATATTCCTTCCTGGACATCTTCCACTCCTCTCCCGAGGCCCAGTTCAAATGTCACCTGCCGTCTCAGGTCCCTTGAGTCATTGGCCCTGCCGTCCTCTGTGCCGCGGGAGCCCTGATGTGAGCCCCCGTCCTCACCGGTGCTCGTGGGTGAGTCACAGGCTCCGAGGTCTGTGACACCTGATGCCTGGCCCTGTTGAGGAACCTGGATGTATTTATCGCACTGCTTGGCACGGAGGAAGTGCTCAGTACACGCTTGTCACATGTGGGAATGGCCCCCCACCCACTGGCCGGTGAGGGCCCCTGGGCCACATGGATATTAGCTTAAGGGAAGAAAAAAGTCAGCATCTACCACCTGCCTCAACGTGGTCATTCCTCTTGGCCCATTTTCCGGATGAGAAAAGTGAGGCTCAGAATAGTGGTTTGGCGCTCCCTGGCTCCACCAGCAGGTGGCAGAGCTGGGAGCCCTGCTGTCCCCTCCCCCCCCCCCCCCCCCCCCCCCCCCAGCCCCAGGAGCCTCCCTCCCAGGAGAGGAAGCTGTCCTGCCCCCGGCAGCCTCAGGGCCACCCACGTGCCAGCCTCCTAGCGTGCCTTCTGACCTTAGCCTTGACTTTTTACATACGTTGCTTTTGCTTCACGGAGCCCCTGGGAGTCCCAGTGAGGAACTGGGCGGGTTCCACAGGGAAGGGGCTCTGGGTGTCTTTGGAAGCGTTGTTTGGAGAGTCGGGGGTGCCTGCCCTTCTTAGAGGCTCTGCCCGAAGCCTGGTGTCCGGTCCCGACCTCCGCTTCTCCCCCGCAGGTGGACCTGTACGGCTTCGGGGCAGACAGCAAGGGGAACTGGCATCACTACTGGGAGAACAACCCTTCGGCGGGGGCTTTCCGCAAGACCGGGGTGCACGACGGGGACTTCGAGTCCAACGTGACGGCCACCTTGGCATCCATCAATAAAATCCGGATATTCAAGGGGAGATGACGCTGCAAAGGAGGACTGAGGCTCGCCTCTCCGCGTCCAGCCCCCGCTTCTCGCCGGGGCCGTTCTGTCCCGGGAGCTTCGAGGGCCAGCCTCGGGGGTGGGGGGTGGGGTGCAGCCCCTGCCCGCCAACATGTGGCAGCGTCTCCTCGGCAAGGTGCCCGAGCCCCGGGCCTGCGGAGTAAGTGTCCCAACTGGGCTTCCATGGAGAGCCCCTCCCTGCTGTTCTGGAGCCAGAGGAAGGTGGGGAGACGCGGCGGGCAGGGGGTCAGGGGGTCCGGTCTCCAAACACTGAGGTCACGTTGGCTTCCGGGGAGGGGGCGGACACTTGGGACTCTGTATTCTAAAGTAAAGGACAGTTTTCCAGGATGGACTCTGCCCGGGGACCCAGGGACGGCCTCAGGACAGAGCCACGATGGACCATGTGGACCTGGGGGCCAGATGGCGCCTTTCTCTGCACGATGCCTGGCCCCTCCCTCACTTGGCTCCACAACCCCCACCCCCACCCCTCTCTGTCTTCCCAAAGCTCCTTTGTGGTGGCTGGAGAGGCGCCCCGCCCCGAAGGGCTTCCCAGACCCTGGTGGGTGTTTCAGACTCCAGCACGTGTCTTCTCCTAGGCGATGTCCCTGAGTGACGGATCCCTGCGGCTGTAACCGTGATTGAGAGCAGATCTGACTGCTTCCGTGTGCCTTTGTGTTTGGGGGAGAGACGCGCGCATCGACTGAAACAAGGCGAAAGCCTTGGCTCAGGAGAGGGGACCCCCAGCAATGCTGCCCCCTTGCTCTGCGGCTCGGGACGTCTTTCCTAGTTTCCTGAGGCGGTGCCTGAGCGGGAGCAAAGCTCTGGTGACAGTGCTGTCCCAAGGCGGGACACCATCTTAACTTGCGTTCACGGACTGTCGGATGTGGTGCCCATGACCTTCCAAGGCCACGCATGTAACCTCCACCAGCCAGCACTTTCCTTAGGGTTGTAGGACCGTCCCGGGAACATCACCTTCAGAGCCGGAGAAGACATACCTCATTCTCTCCCTCCCAGGCTGCTCTGATCTTTCCTCATCAGCCTTCCTGATTATTTATTGATTTATTCTTTTAGTTCAGCGGACGTTGTGTGCACTTTGTGGCGCTGTGGCCGGTCCTGATCGCTGAGTGGAGCCTGCTCTTGCTTCACCTGGCAGCCGGGGCGTGGAGGAGCTTGAATCTAGGTTCGCAGGGCTCTTCAGATTCGGGGCGCTGGGCGGTGGGGTATCTAGGGCTTGGGGGCTTGCGGGTGGGCAGATTTCAGGCTGGTAGGTGTGCGGAGTGCTCTGCCCCTCCTTCCCTTCGGCCCCACCTCCCTTCCTGTCATTGTGGATTGGCTGGGGCTAAGAATCTCCAAAGCTCAAAGCTCAGCGGGACTTCCTTGGGGCCAGGTGGGGAGTGGAGTCACGGGTGTAAGAGGAGTGATTGTGAGCTCCAGTTACTGACTCTTCATCAGAAAAACCACTTTTCCTGTTGAGAGCATTTGCTAACAGGCAGCTGCTACCTTGAGGAGGTGCGACTGTTTCCTGGAGGGGGTGTGAGACATGCCAGTCTCAGAAGCCACGCCTGTTCCCTGCCCTCCCCGCTGCAGCCTCTCCCTCTACAAACAGGGAGGGAGGCACGTGGGGAGCTCAGGGCCGCAGGTGGCGGTAGGCAGGTCACAAGGGTCCCCAGAAGTGGTCCCAAGCCTGTGCATGTGAGCATTGTCGTGGGGACAGATTCCTTAGCCTTTAGTAGTCTCAGAGATTCAGAATCCGGAATGTAGTCTATAAAATAACAACAGAGAACGTGTTCTAGCTTTAAAGTCCCCCGGAACCTAAGACTCTCGTGACTGTTGAAGGCTCATAAACCACCGTGAGGTCGTCGTCCTTATCATAAATGCTGTCGGCTGGCTGACTGGTCTCGGGGACAGCCCTCGAGGACAGCGGCCGCTGAGACCGGGCAGAGGGGACTCCTGAGCTCTTCCCGAGTCCGTACCGGAATGACGGACTCAGGGCACCCAGTCCGCTCCCAGGCATCGCCCAGTCAGAACAGGTGCCTGCAGGGAGGCAGTGGGTGCAGGCTGCCCGGTCCTGGCCGTCTCTCCCTTCCGGGAGGCCGATCAGAGAAGCAGGGCCCAGAGGAGGGAAGCGAGTTGCCAAAGTGAACCAAGAATTATGACAGCCCGACTCAAACACTTTGAGCAAAAACAGGACGTCATTGGCTCTGTTTCAAACACCCTGAGGTGGGCTTTCCCAGCTGGGCTGCATCCAGCATCTCTGAGAACAGTGACGGGGGAGGGGGGGGTCTTTGCCTCCTCCCCACCGGCCTCGTTCTCAGGCTGCCCGTGGTGGGGCCCGCCTTCTGCCACCCTCCCTCCAGCAGAGGAGAAACCTTGCTTTTCCCAGCGCCCTGCACACATTTGCGGTCACTGGCTTGGCAGACCCAATATGCTCCAGTCACTGTGACTGGGACTGAATGCACTGATTGGCTTAAGCCAGTTAGTGTCTATACCCCAGAGGGTAAGGATGGCTGAGAATCGGCACGCTCAGTGTTCTGTGGGTGGGTAACGCGAAGCACCCAGCCAGCTCTCGAGAGTGTCCACTGCTCTCACCGCTCACCGTGGGGCTCCCAGCCTCGGCTCCTTGGAGGCCAGCCCTGGGCCCCGGGCACGGAGCAGAGGTGTCCCTGCTGCGCTCATCAGTGCAGAGCCTAAAGCCAGAAATAGCAGGGCTGAGGAGGGAGAGCGATCTCAGCACCCTCTCCAGGCCCCAGAGAGCCAGGACGCTGATTTTCTTGAGCCGCAGTCACGTCCTGCAAAACCAGCACCGCTTTCACATGCCCCCGGAGCCCTGCTCCCCTCCTCCCCCCCCCCAGTTAGGGCAGAAAGCGGGATGGGCTTGTAGCTCCTGGCCCCCAGAGCCATCATCAGGCAGAAAAGAAAATTCTTAAACTGATGCCTTTTGAGACTCTGGCCTCAGCAGGTGTGGCCCAGCGAGCCCCACGGGCTGCGCTTAGCGGGAGAACCGGGTACAAGAAAGCAGGACTTAAAATAGGGAAGCCAGACACGAAGGCGGGGAGGGCGATGCTTGTAAAGTGCTGGGGGCCAGAGGACTGGGCATCTGGGTCCAGGCCGCAGTTGAGTCGCAGAGAATGCTTAGAACCTTGACGTCTGCTTTAACTGTTCTCGTCAAGGCAGCCTGAGCACTAAAACAGGAAACAGAAAAGAACCCATGTGGGTGTCACCAAAAATGCTCTCTCCAGGGAAGGGTAAGCCCTGAGGGGCCGCTGTCCAGCGCGAGATGGCCGGTTGCTCGACATGTGCTGTCAGCCAGCTGCTGTCCTTGTGCACACACACACACACACACACACACACACACACCCGGGGTTATCGCTGTGCCCCTCATGGACATCTGGTTGGAAGCAGACGTGCCCACAGGCCCCCGCTTGGTCAGCCTCCCCTGTGGTCTGGGCTCACAGGTCTTGAGATGGAGTCAGCCTTCCTCTTGCTCGTCCCGAAGACCGGCCCGCCGCCTCTGGGGGACAGAGAGGAGCAGGGGATGTGGAGGAACTGCAGAGACCCGCAGGGCGGCGCACACGGTGTGCTGGCATCCGGGCATTAGCGGCTTCTCGCCAGATGAGTAGCAATGTGCTTCCTACAAGCGGCCGTCTGCTCCCGGCCCCCTGCGGCCAGCCCACCCCCGGCTTTCCTTCTCGGCCCATGAGATCTGCACTGGTGTTGAACTTGACCCCCTGCCTGGCTCAGCCTCTCTCCCTGGGCAGAACTCCGTCTGTGTCCACCTGTGGATGGCCGAGAGCCCGAGGCCAGCTTTACCCTGCCTCCCCTCCCCCAGGACATGAACGTGCCCCCCACCCCACCCCCGCCGCGCCAGCACATCACTGAATTCACGTCCAAGCCAAAGTTTCTCGAGCACTTTCTGTTCCTTGTGACCGCGTCTGATTCCTTGTTGGTGGTGTAAACTTTGCTTTCTTTTCCCTCCTGCCTCGCTCCTGTGTTTGTTCTGTAGCTGAGGGCCGACCGGGGTGCGTTTTGAAGGAAGTTAGCGAGAGTCTGCCTTCCTCAGCCTCTGCTCTGTTTTATTTATTGTTGAACATTTCCAATGATCCAAATCAAAGTGAATTAAAACAAAAAGCTATTTTTCTCGTTCGGGTGTGTTTGTTGTGTTTCTATGGCGGCCACGCCTTCCTGTGCCCCCCCCCCCCACGTCTTCTGGGAAGGGGTCATGCTCAGTACTAAAAAAGCCCCGATGGTTCACCTGCGGGGGGGGGGGGGTGTCTCCTGGCTCAGTGTCTGCCCGCCGAGTGCCCAGAGGTTCAGGAAGCAGAGCGTTAGCCTCTCAAATGCATCTGTGACTCGCTGCTGTGCAACTGTGGCGAGTCACCTAACCTCCCTTAACCTCAGCTGCCCCATCTGGTAAATGGACACAACACCAGCTGTCAGAGCAGGTGTGAGGCAAGGATAAAAATAACTCAGGAGGCCCGCCGGAGGGGATCTGTGGCAGCCATGTCAAGCCGTGGCTGGAGGAGATAGCGGTGGCAGGGGCCCAGGGTGGGCCGAGGTATGGCTCATCTTTTCCCAATAAGCAGGGACATCCGTGGATGGCTCCCAAGTTCGATCCAAAGTTGGCACAAATCTCCAATTCTGTGGATAGTCCAGAAATCCAGCATCGGCGTTCTATAAGGTAAAATTGGTCTGAAATTGTGTCAGCTCGCACAACGCCGTGCTAGGCGTGAACTTGAATTCTCACAGCAGTCCGAAAGGGCTGGTGTGTGGTTCCCCGGTTTTCATGTTTGCAAACAGGTGCAGAGGGCAGAGTGGGGCTCAAAACAGGTGTTCCCTCTGCAGACGCGGGGTTCCCTGTCACTCTGCTGCCTCCCCGGGGGACGTCTCCCAGGCTGATGTGGGAAGTTTGTCTGTCGTGACCCTTGGAAAAGAGGCCTCGGCGGCAGGAGGGTGCGGAGAGGAACACAGGTGTCCTGGAGCCGGGCAGCCTGCGTTCCTACTTAGCTGTGTGAGCTTGAGCATGTCCCTGAACCTCTCTGTGCCCGAGCTCCTTGTGGATAAAGTCTGGGTGATGGGGCACCTACCCTAGACACAGGCTTGAGGGGTAAATGAGCCCTGAGATGTCAACTCTTGTTAAAGTTGTGGGGAGAGAAGGAGATGCCGGCAAAACTGTGAGCCCCCCCTCCGCCCCCAGGGCACCCAGTCGGATTTCTTTCGCTCCCTCTCCTGCCCTCCCCCCCCCACACACACTGGGGGCTTTTGTGTTGTTTCCCTTCCAAGTGGTTTCTTCAACTCTTACCATTCCCTTTCCTTTTTCCCATCCCTTGACTAACCTCACCCGATCAGGGTCTGCGCTCAGGTATTAACATGCTGGCCACCCCTTTCCCCTGCATCAAAGACCCAGCCTCCGCCAACTCCTGCCTCCGCCAGCTTCCATCACAGCTGCAATGTGGGAGAGGGGCCACCAGGTGGCGGCACATGTGGGCCCGTTGGGAATGCGGGTCCACAGAGTCCCAGGCCACCGACAGCCTAGGAAGGGAAAGGAATTAGCTAGACCCTCGACAGAGAGCCCGGAGGACCTAACGACATTTCTTTAGGACGCTCTGGCACCTTTCCAGGTACGGAGGACAAGAGCCAGGGGCCTCCTGGCCCAGGGCTGTGCGCCCCCCACGCCTCCCGCAAACGCAGGTCGTCCAGGATTTGGGTCCCAGGCGCACCCTCACGCAGCTCCACACCCACGCTTGGCTGTTCAGCAAAGAGCGAATGGAATCGAAAGGAAGCTCCTGGGAAGAAGTGTTCTACTGTCTTCTTTTAAGCCATGGCGATTTTTAAATATGTGCACCGATGTGTACGAACCCCACCGGCTGGTTTTCCAGATTCAACAATCATGCGTGTTTTCCACCTGTGCCACTTCTTTAAATTCTTCTTCCGTCTTCATCACTGCTAGTTTCCCACAGGGCTTAGGGGTCTGCCTCGAAAGTCACTTTGCCCCTGTGTCCGCGAGGGAGTGGCTCGGAAGGGTGCCTGTCCTGCGAGATACAGCGTCACCCAGCAAGGTGGAGGGAGGGTGTCCCCACTTCCTCGGGTGCCCAGTCCAAGGGGACCTCCCCAGCTGTCCTCAGCCATGCCTTGGGCGGTTGGTTTATTTGCACCAGGATTCACTACAGGTCATGTCACAGAAGGAAATGCTCTGCATATTCAGAACTAAGTGAAGATGTGGTGTGAGGTCTAGGACACCTCTGCTCTGGGGGCCCAGTGAGGAAATGTCCCCAGCTGATTCAAGGGTCCGTCTGCACCTGCTGGGGAAGGACCCACCTCTGTTTCTGCTTCTGCTTTGTTCACCGATTCCACACCTACCTACTGAGTGTAAGAGGCATCTCCAGGGCTCAGGTTCTTCTCCCCAACCTCACGATATCCATCCGTGGGATGTTGTTGGATTCATGTGCCCGTCGCTCCCCTCCCTCTAAGGCCACCCCCCCAGACCTGCCCAGACCCTAGATCCCCATAGAATAAGGTGAATCCCTCTGGATCATCTTCAGCTGAAACACGGGGTCCTCACAGGATTGGTGAATCCCAGGTGACCTGCTTCTCGGACACGCCGGCCGCCGGCCCCACCTGACGTTCTGTGAGTACGTGGAATGATTCAGAGACCGGCCGTGCTCACCTCCACCCCACTGCTATGCACTGGGTGTCCCCGAAATTCGTATGTTGAAGTCCTCACCCCCGGGGTGATGCCGCTTGGAGGGGGGCCTTTGGGAGGTGATCAGGTTTCGAGCAGGTCGTGAAGGCGGGGCCCCATGATGAGATTCGTGCCCTTGTAAGAAGAAACAACAGTACCACTGCCCCCCCCCCCCCCCCCCCGCCCGCCGCCGAGTCCAAACAGCAGCAAGGCAGCTCAGGACGCCCCCGATGCGTCCGGTCTCTGGGCCTCCAGGGGGCTCCCTCCAGGCGGCCACAGGCAGTAGCCGCATCTCGGGATGGGACAGCTGGATTTTCTGCTGCAGTTCTAAGCCGCGTCCTCTAAGTCAGCCTGACTGCCAAGTGCAAGTAGCAACAGGCTCCTGAACCAATCTCTCTGTGAGCTCCGACCTCAGCGTGCCAAGGAGGGGTTGTGGCCTTGAGACCCCTACCCCCTGGACACACAGACTTGGACTTTGCCGGGTTATAGACCGTGGAGGCTGCGGGTCTGGATGAGAAACCGCAGGAAGTGAGTGGGGATGGTCTTGGGAGGAAGAGCACGAGGAAGCTAGAAGGAACCGGCAGAGAGGCCACAGCCGCGCGGGGCTGTGACGGGCCCCCAAGGCCAAGGCCAAGATGACTTTAGGGAGAGTTGCAGCACGAGGTGTGTGAGTGGCCTCTGGGATGGAGCGGTTCCGGGTGGAAAGAGGAAGCCGGAAGAGAGTAGACGTCCCGGGCCCGGAAGGGCAGGCGCTGGATGTAAACTCCACAGGGCCACCAAAATCACCGGCATAAGGGTGCACATCGGGCAGAAACACACTTACTGAATTTGCCACGTGCACCAGGAGTGAAGGAAGGTAGGCAGCCAGGTGGCGAGTGCCCGGACACAGGGAAAGGGACAGGGCAGGTGCGGCAAGAGAAACAAGTTTGGGGAGGATGGGTGGGGGCGGTGAAGTCTAGAAACATCCAGACGCTGCTGCCAGGAGCGAGAGGAAAGCAGCCGTCGTCTGGGGGATGGCAGTGTCCTCGGGACCCCAGCATGCCTCACACGTCAGGACCGCGAGCCGGGGCGCTCCCCGCGGGTGGCTGGCGCACTTCCCGGAGCACAGAAGACCGAAGCCAGGGGCCGTGATGGCCATCGACTGAGAACTTCTTTCCCAAGCCTTCCAGAAGGGGTGCGTACCTGTTGCGAGAACCATTGCCCCGGAGAGCTGGACGCCCCGAGGGTGTGTGCAAAGCTGCCCGCGGGTCCCTTGACTTCTGAGAACGCCTTCCCTTCCGTGTTTTAGAACATTGGGACCAGGTTTCCTGAAACTTGAACCAGAGCAGGGAGCTCTGGATGGTGAACATCTGTAGGTTGCTGGAAGATTTCTTCCCCCTCCCCCCGGAGACCCCCTAAGAAGAAGGCTTGGTTGGATTACAGACTCCCACAGGCCCTGAGGGTCCAAGACCTAGATCCAGACGTGGAGCTCCTCTGTGATGTGGGAACGAGGGTTCCAGACTTGTCTGCCTCGTGGGGTTGTTGGGGAAGCTACCATGCTTCAGGTTTACACACATCTCATTTAATAAATACGAGGGCCGTCGGAGGCTGGGGCTGGGCAAGCGAGGTCTCTGACACTCGAAGACCTCAGCCCAACGGGGGACAGGCGGGTAGCCAGACAGCTGCTACACCAGCAAAGGTGGCAGATTGTTAATGACCACGGCTCCCTTTTGCACCCTGTCGACATGGGCTAGGCGCTTTGCCTACACGAATCTCATTTAATCCCTCAGCAATTTCGCCAAGAAGCACAATTCCCTAAGAGAGGAGAATTTAATGAGAAAACAGCCTCCGGGAGGTGAAGGAACTTGCCAACAAGGAAGGGGCTCACCCAGGACTTTAAAAGGAAGGTGCTGAGGTCGTGAGTCCTGGCTAGGAATGAAACCCCTCCGTTCCCCGCACGAGTACGGGGCCAGGGGACTGTGAGCTTTGCTCTAGACCGAAGCGCTTTGCGGATGAGCCCCCAAGGGCTGGTCCCAGGTGCTAGAGCAGGTCCTGCCCTGGGAAAAGCCCCAGCTGCCCAAAGGCTCATACTGTGACCTTCGCCAAGAGCGCTGGCCCCGCCACCCAGCAATGGCGGCCACCAGAGGGCGCCACGGACCCACCTTCGGCAGGATTTCTTTCAACGCAGAGATTGGTTGGGACCCAGAAAGCAGTTGAAAACCACATGAAAAAACACACACACCCATGTATGAGGTCAGAACTTAGAAAAGAAGAAAAAAGAAAAGGAAAAGAAAAGAAAAGAGAAAAGAAAAAAAGAAGAGAAAAGAAAAAAGAAAAGAGAAAAGAGAAAAAAGAGAAGAAAAGAAAAGAAAAGAGAAGAAAAGAAGAGAAAAAAAGGAAAGGACAAAGCTGCCGTTAAATATCCATTCCACTGCCTTCCAGATAAGGAGGCTGCTATCTCTGGCGCTCAGCCGAGAGAACTGGG